TTATAATAAATATATAAATAATGTATTGTTTGCTTTTGTACCTATATATTCACTTATTTTAGGTGGACTTTTACTACATATATTGAAAATAAACTTGTCAACAACTCCCAGCATCAAATTACAATTTGTTTACATGTTTAGTTTTTTAGCGTAGGTTAGACCGAAATACCGCATCCGTTCTGTGTATTCATACTATTGTGTTCGAGGTCCTTATTCGAAGACAATCTCCTACGCAGTGATCTCCCCTTTTCAGTACAGAGATCTCTGCCATCACAAACATTGAAATATCAATATTTGGATATTTATATTTTTTAGCTTTTTAATTTATTTTTCATTATTTTGTATACTTTTGATATTTTTTGATAACATATAACGGACGTAGGTACAAAAAGTTAAAAATGAACAGAAAGAGAAAAATGACGTAAGATTTTCTATTTAACGGTCGATGTTTACATTTGAATTTCGACGCTACGTCATGTGACTTTCATCATCATGTGACGTCTGTGAAGGCAGTGATTACAATTCTGCCAAGGGAGGTAATCAGTGTGAGGAGTTTGATCCGAAGACTGACGGAAAGGGCCGAGTAGTTGCGATTGTGAAATCCGATGCGTAGACTGGTGACCTTTTATAGGAATCATGATAGGACAGGGAACCAGAATGAACGGAAGCACAAACTCCCAAACTCCGCGCACCGGTTACGCTACGGCCTCTTATCCTGTAACTATTATTTTATACTATTTCACGGTAAAAGTAAATCCAGTTCGCTTAAAGGCTTTGCCTTTTTCATATTGGATTATATTTATCACAAATAAGATTGAATCTCATATTATTTCCATTATCACTTGTTCTGTCGTGAATTGTCTGTCTTCGAGACTAGGGAAAATATTAATTAGGAAAAAGATATCAATGTTTAGTAGAGTAATTAATGCATTTTTTCGAGTTCAAATGCGCAGGAATATAAGGCCGATAGCAGGAATCACGAAGACCTGATAAAATTTGTAAATAACTGTAAATAATTTGAACAATAAACCGTGCATTATTATAGACCTACTAGATCTATAATGCAAGGGAAAATAATATGTATTTCCATTCTAACATGCGAATAAAATAAAGAATTGATAAAATATAGGCCTATAGAACTACATTGAGCGTAAAAGCATTTTACTGACGTCATCTGGTTTATTGACGTCATATATAATCATCAAATCTTGATAGGGGAATCCATATTGTGAAACGTATTAGTATCATTTGACGCACGTCAATCCAATTCATCCTCTGCTTTGTTCAACAGACGCGCCCGTAACGTATACATGTGTTTTAACGGATACTCACGCGTAACTTCGAGATAATTTAACTGCATATCTTTCTCGTGCATTTCCGTTAAGAGGTTGCACTTGTACATCCGTTATGTATGTTGTATGATAAATATATTTTTTCTAACAACAGTTTTTAATCAATAATCTTCGGAGTTTAAAGTGTATTTATCTATATATATCTGTAGTCTCTAGTTTACATTTTTGTTTTATTTTATTTTAGAAAAAAAAAACATATTTGAGAGAAATATGTTTGAATTTTTTCTAAGAAAGGACTGGTGCATGCATGGAATCATTGCTAAACGGTGAAAAACCTTGAAAACGATTCTTAATTCGAATTTAGTCTAACCGCTGAGCTCAGACAAAATATGTGCTAAAGGGCATTGATGTTGCCCGGCATTCACATTCTTAAGTTTAATGCATAATTATAAGGATGCAACATAACAATTGAATAATACTTTCAAGAAATTCAGTCTCATAAGATATATAGAATAAGTGCTTTGTTTTTTTTCGTGGCATTTAGTAATAGGAGAAAGCGAAGAGTTATTATCTCTGCACTGACTAATTATGAAAATATGTGGCATTTTATCATGTTGAGTGAAAATATATTCCATATTTCACGCAAACGAAAAAATATCCTCTTATTATTTAATTTCATTATCAAAGAAAACGGTAACGAATCCCCTTTTGCTTGCTACCAACTGCAATTGTACAGCGAGCAGTAATTTATGCGTAAGCACACGCTGTTTGGCGCTACATAGTGACGTCATGTAAACAACTCTTTTAACGTCTGTACAGCGTTAATTACTGAATTAAAGATATTGGTGTTCGGATTAATTTTCTTAGTGAGACCATTTTCTATCATGCTAGATAGTTTTCAAAACAATATTCAAGAAAAAGTTGTTTTGTATTCATCAGATTTTTCAAACAAAACGGCGAAAGAAGTCCCTTAAACTAAATATGAGTTTTGACTCCGCCCACTTTCATATTTATATTTCATATTTATTTTTAAAAAATATGAAATATATTTGACTGATATTGCACCATATTTCATGGGTAAAATTAAATAAATTTACATATTTCTTTTCTATTCACAAAAATTGGATACTGTTGATAATGACTTTTGATTGATTTTATCTATCACATGTTATATATATATATATGCTATAATGCCGGACAAATGCTTAGTAAATAGTAACCCTGGTCTAATTATTTGGAGGGGGTGGAGGGAATATTTATTTTTCCTTTCCTCTGTTCCTTCGGATCAGTGTATGAAGCTACTAAGAAATGTTAGACACTTGGAGTCGGTAATTTACGGCCAGAATAGTGGCATGCACACAAACAGGAGGGAAATAGGGGATATATGAAATTTCTGTATGTATAAAGATAGAAATGTCAATTGTGGATCAATACCATTTTGTTTTCAAACGACGGTGTCCCTGTTCGTTCCACTCTTGTGAAAAAGTAAACAATCTCTTTTTGATGGGGTTGTTGTTGTTTTTTTTTGTTTTTGTTTTTTAAGAAATAGCAAGAAAATAAGTAGGGAAATTGTGTCGCATTTCGTCCAAATGTTAGCCCTAAAATACACTATTACCGAAGAGTGGGACATTGACCATTGATATAATCATAGACAGACACTCGTGGGGACAGATCGGGGCCCCTTAAATCTGGGTCTGACTCCCAAGTGTCTGTGTATTAAACCATAAACTAAAACATTGTCGGTATTATTTTCTATCCTTTAAATAACCGTGCAATGCTGTTTACATGCAGCAGTGATATGAAGACATGAAAAAGAGAATTCAATGATTTATTTTCCTCCTCTGATTTGACATACATGTATATAAAGGTGCCGTAACATTAACATATGCTTAATGTTTGACAAACAAAGTTGTTAAATGTTTCATAATAAACCAACTTGATCCGTTCAAAGTGTACGTCATTTGTTAAGTGTATAAATTATTACAATTTTTTTAGTATAGAAAGTACATATTTTCATTTTTTGGCTTTATTGTCAGTAACACACGTCGTGATTGTTCAAATCTTATCCATTCGATCGAAGTTGCTACGTATGTCCATTCATTATAAATCAAACTAATTTTGGAATTTGTATAAACATTGCAATGGTTTTCAGGTGAGCGACTTAATCTGTGATTGTACTCTTTATGTAGAATATCGTGGAGAATAAATACTGTTATCATGTTATATAAAAACAAATGAGCCGTGTCATGACAAAACCAACATAGTGGGTTTGCGACCAGCATGGATCCTGACCAGCCTGCGCATCCGCGCAGGCTAATCAGGCTATCAGTTGCACTACTTGTAATAGGGTTGATAAGCGAACAGCATGGATCCTGATCAGACTGCGTGGATGCGCATGCTGGTCTGGATCCATGTTGGTCGAAAACGCATTACGTTGGTTTTGTCATGACGCGGCTCAAATCATCTTTATAAATTTATATAAATTTAATCGGTAGTGTAAAAGTGTTCAAAATGAAATTGTAGACATTATTGCATGTGAACTTAGTGCTAAGGGCTTTATAAAGACTATTGCCCAATTCCCTTAAATGCTTGACCAGAACAAAATATTCGATTTATAAGTTCGGTCACTTAAATGAATATGAACAACACTTTCTTGGTACAAAGTCAGCACAGGTAGATTATATCTGGGAACACTGCAAAGGTTATACACAACATAGTTACTTTGACATTATGAAAATCAATATAACTGAATGAAATGTAAAAATTAACAGAACAGTCTAAACATGTTTTTATGTGATTGATTTGTTATTCTTTTTTTGTTCTTTTAACGAAATGAAACATATTTTGACTTTTTCTATTATTTAAAAAGAAAACAACATAAAATAATTATATAACTGATATGTCACAAATGTTTTAATTAGCATGTTGCGCCAATATTATTTAATTGAAAAACGGTTCAAATACGTGACATTGTTTGTTACAAGTAGATTTTTATTTATTCATATAACATATATTTTTTCAACATAAAAGTGTAACATAACTTTTATAGCCATAGAATTCAAATCCTGTGTGTTGTAAGGTGTTTTAGGTTACTGTACGGTAAGTTATCCCAGAAGTATTATTGACAAGTATAAATAAAAGTTGCGACATATGTAACAGAATTTGCATAAAAGTACTTATATTAAGCATTTGTTGTCGTGTTTATGGATACTATAAGGGTAAAATCTTAAGTTATGTCATTTTTTAAATGTGCATAATACCAATTACTTGCCAGATTATTAATTGTTTTGATATTTGTCATTGTCATTAGTGTTTCGAATTTCTGCATTGTAGGCCATCTACAAAATATGGTTTAAAAAACATCTATGTAAATTGTATATTAATGAGAAATGATATTATGTTGTAGAAACAAATTTAGTGGACAATTTCGACATTTTCTATTTCTCTTGGAATATTATCGTGCCTTCCCTTTTCTATCTCCAGATTGTAAATTGACAGTTTAAATTTGGTTAAAATATTCGTAATGATTAGAATTGATTGGTCATTTCAATAAGTACATTGATGCAAAGCTTAAATTTGTATTTGGATTTGTATTTAATAACCAATAAGTAACTTAAAATATTTAAACAGTTTTCATTTATCATATGTTCTTTTAATTAATTTCAATTTCATTAGTATTTATACGTGTGTTTTTATTATATATTTCAGAAGTTAAAGATGGTCTCTTTAAATTCTACAAAACAAGACACAGTAAAATTTTCCTGTCGCCTCTTTTTGAAGAGAAAGACACTGCGTTAGCTTCTTTCTATATCAGACCGGAACTGAGCTCAATAGTCTCAACATCGACGAGAAATGATGAAAAAATACCAGTTGAATCATTATCGGAGTTGTTCAAAACTAAGAATATAGAAAATCGAGAAATATATGTACTCGCTGATGCTGGACTCGGGAAAACTGCATTTTCAAAGTATCTGGCTAACGTGTGGTGTCAAGCTCATTGCCCGGATGAAGACTTAAGTAAACTTTTGTTAAAGGATGATGTGGACTGTATGCAAGAATTTGATTTCTTATTCCTAGTCTTATTGCGAGATTCGGACGATTTGTGCTTTATAGATGAGCTCATATTTGAAAAGATTGTTTCAAATTTGGGTCTTGAAGAAACGCTTTCCAAAGATATCCTGCTTAAAATTTTGAAGAATGAGAAATGCCTAATTATACTTGATGGACTGGATGAATGGACTCACCCCGACAAGAAATGTTACAGATCGCCTCGATCGATCCCCCACAGGAATGAACAAAAAAAGTGTACATTACTGACAACAACGCGACCATGGAAATTAGGTGTTTTGGATCTCAATTCGTGTCAAATAGGGAAAAAGGTAGAAATTACACAATTAAGTAACGACTCGGCCGTCACACTTATACGAAGGATATTACAAAGATTGAAATCACACCACAATAAGGATTTATTAGAAAGTGAAGTCGATCTGTTCATACACACAATCAATAGGAGAAGGAACGACGAGCTTGCCTTTGTGCCTCTTCTTTTGATATATACTATTTGTTTATGGTGCGAAGGTGTTCAAATAGGAGATACAAAATGTGATCTCTACATAAATATAGTCGAGCTTCTTTTATCAAGAACGATCCAGATCCACGGGGAGCTTCAACAATCGTGGGAACTTTCTTCCAGTGACATCCCAGAATGCTTTGATGAATATGAAACTTGTCAAAGATACTACCCACTCCTGCTGAATTTAGGGAAATTGGCTTATTATGCATTATTCAACGAAACAAAAGAAAACACGCTAGTATTTGATGGATCAGTTGCAAGAAAATATATCGCACAAGACGAGATGAAATTCACCCTTCACTCAGGAATGTTGTCAGAAAGTACATCCAAAACGCTTACAAAAACAATTAGTAAAGTATCGTTTCCTCACAAAACATTTCAAGAATTCTTTGCCGCCATATTTATAAGTTCTCAAAGTGACGCTCAGAAACCAGTTCTAGAGAAATGTAGGAATGTTGAAGACATTCGGGACATGTCACAAATGTGTGAATTTATGAGTAAAATGAATGTTGACCTGATGTGCGCAATATCAAATGATTTGATGTCTGTGATAAATGAAGTCGAGAAAACACGCGACTATAGAACTTGGACAGGTTACCAGAACATGTACAATACTTCATTGTATGACATACAGAAAATGTTCATGTCATGTTTACAAGAAATGCCTGAAAGTGAAAATGTTCAATTATGTTTACAAGATTTCTTCATTAACGAGCAAACCGAGCACAGTAATCAGTTACAGCGTTTGTTGAAACAAAATAAAACCAACATAAAATCACTTTATATAGACATTAGCAATACTTCCAGCAGTTTACGTAAAATTATAGATTTATTCTCTCTCACAGATCTCAGTCATATACAGAAACTTGTATTTCGCGGAAATTGGAAGGAGGATGCTGAGATAAATCGGATATTGTTTCCACGTCTACAGAACATTACTTTGTTGGATTGTGAATGGGCAAATGATGAAGAGAATCTAAGTGAAAACTTGGCGCGCTTACAAAACTTACAATATTTATATATTTTCAACATCACATTATCTCACAAAATACTGGAAACATTTTTCAATGTTATCTCTTGTCAAAAATCATTGAAAGAGTTAACATTGTACCTGTTAAACTGTAAAAATCACGACCGTCATGATTGTAAGAGATTGAACTTGGATTTGTCTCAACATTCAACTCTAGCTATGGTAAATTTGCAGATGTTACCTAGACTACTATTAAATATATCAACTCCGTCATTAGTTAATGTTACGTTGTTGGACATCAATTTAGATGAAGGTTCATTGTTACTGTCACGTGACATGTTGAATATTGAACATGTGAGGTTTTTTGTGATAGAAATGTCTGCAGGAAGTTTACATAACTATATAACCGTGCTCGAAAACCTGCGAAGGTCAGTTACAGTAAAGATGGATGACATAGAACCGGAAACCGAATATAAAAGTGTTAAAGGGCATATTCGGAGATCACAAACTTTTCATATGATAGAAGACGACACTTTGCCTGGGGCTTTTGAGTTCAAAACAATAAAACCAAGCAAAAAATAAACATAGACAAGAGAAAAAACCTGAAGAAACTACATCAATAATTTAAATATAACAAGACAATTTATATATTGACACTTAGAAATAAAATGGGCATCTTCAAACTATACTAAAGTCTTTATTTAGGGTATGTACCGTTTTCAATTGATAAATTGGTTCTATATGAAAAATATGAATAATAACAAAAAAAAATAATACAAATAATTAAAAAAGTTTTTACAGAACATTTTGGATATAAAAATGGATTAGGATATGGACATATTTCACAAGTAAGTGACTTTATATTGAATGTTTTATTTTTAGATTTTTTTATACATGCATATGTAAGAAATGAAATGGATTATTAACAGTAAACTATATTCTTATGTTTACTTTCAATTTTTTTATTCAAATCAAAGTAAAGTATTGTTTAAGGTTGTATGTACATATGTGAACACGGGTTATTAATTAACTCTACATTGTCTCTTATACATTTAATTAATATTGTTAAGATTCATGAATTTAGAAAAGTTTTTTTTCTTTCTTTCTTTTTTTTCCCGAAAATATTGTCCTTGTGATTTTTATTTTGGTGCATTAATTGTCTGACATTTTAAATTATAAGGTGTGGTGTTTAAGGGTTTTGGGTTGAAGAGGGGGAACGGGGGTATAGTGTAAGTCATGGCCACGCGACGATCACCTGTGGTTATGACTGTATATCTATAACATTTCTCCTTAATATACTTATGGCCCTTACATGTAAGGAAATACAATTCATTAATAGTTCTGTTTAGATGTGTTTATCAATTTTTGGTTTATCTGTATATTTGTTCATAATATATAAATGCAGACTTCTCACAGTGATTACCTCCTTTGGCAAAATTGTAATCACTGCCTTCACAGACGTCACACGATGATGAAAGTCACATGAAGTAAATTTCGAAATTCAAATGTTAATTTTGACCGTTACATAGAAAATCTAACGTCATTTTTCTCTTTCTGTTTTATTTTTAACTTTTCGTACCTACGTTCGATATAGTTCATCAAGAAAATTATCAAAAGAATACAAAATAAAGGAAAATGAATTCAAAAGCTAAATTATATAAAATATCAAAATATTGTCTCGGTAGAAAATATTCTCATAATTTTTGAAATTATTTCTAAATATTGATACTTTTTATTTCTTTATTCATAATCATTGTTTTGTCAATGAGAAAAAAACTTAACTGATAGATAAAAGCAGTAGATAAAACAATTAAAAAAATATAGTATATCAGAAATCCTGACCATTGTGGCAGAGTTCTACGCCAAAGAATGAAGGTGAGATCACTGCGTGGATATTAATATTAATGTATTAATTATCCATGTTCTAGTCATATTTGATGTGTGTTTTGGCTCAAGTATATAAATATGTTTATAACTATTTATAAGTTCTTACCATTTTTTGTGTTTTAGTTACTGTATATACATCTCATTGTCAAACTTGTATTTTTATACACATGTTAATATATTCAGGGAAAAGAAAACAGAAAATGACATGTTTATAACCTATCTGTAGACATTAACATACAATTAGGTAACACAATAACCATACATGGATGGGATAGTGTCTTAAAATATTGCATCAGTTTAATATCAATGCTGTAAGAATATCTTTTAATTATCTATTAAATGTTTGAATTAATGCACAGTTTAATACATGGTATGCTATTGTTTGCTATTTTATTTAGTTTCAATTTTCCTATTTCTGTTTGAGATACAGCGATGGAGATAGAGAAAACGTGAACGGAAATAATTGAAATATTTATATTTTGTTACAAGAATAATGCCACGAAAAATGTACATACTATTTATAACAGCTGTAACTCTTATGTCATCGTTTGTTAATTTTTGTTTATATATTTCACATGTCAAACACATAAAAAGTGTTGTTGTTGTTGTTTTCAATTAGAACTACTGTGTTTTTTTTAAAATAAAACTACTGTGACATTTCTTTTATTACAACAATGTAACATCTTTGTAATCGGACTAAAAAATCCAATTTTTACCATTTTTAAGCAAAAAAAAAATACAATTCGAAAACGTTAAATGTTTGTAACAAATGTCATGTATTTCAATAATATTCATCTACGTTGTGCCTTGTGTTTTATTCATTGTCCCATTAGCGTAGAATAAAAATTATATTTTGTTTTTTTATATTGATTTAAACCTGTACATTGTATTTTTATAAATGACAGAGATTTCAATAGATGACTTGTATCTCTTGTGATTTTAGATCACCTGAGCACAATACTTTAGGATTGTTGGATGTCCATTGTCCATGATTTTACAGTTATTTCAAATAACTCTGTAACTTCGGGTCTTGATCAAATTTGTTACATTTTTTGCAAGGATGTTTCTTTCATTCAAAAGATATTCCAAAATTGATAAAATAGTTACTAGTATATCCAGTTCATGGCTGAGTCACAGAAGATAATATACAATTGCAACCTTTTAAAACTTTCCTTTACAAAATACGCTACGCCTAGAGCTTGGATAGTTCTTCTGATTATTTTCAACACAAGTTTACAAAGATTGATCAAATCATGCTCTCACGTGGGTTACAATTAACCTCGGATTGGGTTCTATTTTTACATAGACTGATTAGGGGAACATCTTTAAAATTATTCTCCTCTTAAGTTATAGATCTCAGTTTTTATATCTGGAATGTTCTTGTTAACTTCAATTCATTTTACTAAAAAGCAATGGATTTCAGATGAGCGAGTTAGGGACATCATGGCCCTCTCGTAACTTTTTTGTATACATGTTTATAGTTTTCTTAGTAAGATTTTATAACTTACAACGTTAAGTATTTTTGTATTAAGAAAGAATTTAACATAGCACTCGGTCTCCATAAACACAATCATATCAGTAATTATACCCTCACACAAAGACGTTGTAAAAAAGGTATATAATACAATCAGATTTTTTGTCCGGTCGGCTGGCCAGCCGTCTTTTTGGCTATTTCTCAAAAGTATAGGAGGTTTCAACTTTAGAAATAGTGCAGTACTGAAGATTCATAAATCTGTATTGCTTGAATTTGTAGTTACTGCCCTTTTTAGTTTGTAAACTTAATGGAGGTCTGCAGCATAACTACATTTCGTTTTGCTTTCGACATGACGAAAATCACAAATAAATTGCTCTCAATAAAGAACATTTCTTTAAATTCATTATTTTCGTATGCTTTGGCTTGGAGTTATTGTCCTTCGTGCTAAGTTAAGAACTACAGATACATCAAAGAAAAGTTCAGTATGTAAAAACCATACCATCTGATAACTCATTTTATACTTAAAGACCTTTTTTAAAGTTTGCAATGCTTAACTTTTGTTCCGAGCCATTGAGGTAAATGTTTTGTCCTATCTGCATTGTAATTTTTCTTATTTTACTTTTTGCCTTAACACAACTCATACACAATTGGAGTTTACAATCTACTTGAAACGATTTTGGTAGATATATCATATTGAGGTATATGCATTATCCTAATTTTGTAGCTACTGCTACTATCTTTTGTAAAAGATAAGACTTATTTTTTAATAGAGCAGCTTTTAAGTTCATATGATTTGTGAACATGAATCGTCATATTATCTTTTTTTTGTATTAGGAGAGAGGCTGTTGTGAAACGTTTTGAAGAGTTGATATTGTAATGATAAACTGTTATTGTGATTTTTTTCTTCTTCGAATACTGTGGTTAATATTCAATCTGATGCTTACAATATATGTGTGTATCTATGTAATTTTCCATATCTTAATATTGAAAATAAAGATAAGACAATTTTTTTCAACTTTAAGAAAATATTTGATTAAGATATTACTGTATAACATATTATTTAGCAAAGGGAAAGTACATTTTGTTATATATATTATAATAAGTATACTGTAAGGACCGATTGCAAGTATAATATGTTTACTGAAATTTTACTTTTTATGAATTAATGTTCAATGCTTACATAATATTATTGTCCATATATTATATAAAATAAATTGTGATACTTATGATGTGCTAGTTATAATTTTCACAAATGTACGTAAATCAGTTCCGTTGGGTCTCTAGTTGTACACATTTATTCTTGAAGTGTCCTACTGGGGGAAATAATCATTATGTACACCAGTACTTGTTAGTCACGGAAGTAAAGAACCCATAATATTGACCTGTATACAATAATATAAACAATTATAACAAGGCAATAAACCTTTTGATAATGTTGTCTAGAAAGAAATAAAAAAAAACTACACGCATTAAGAAAGCATAGATATAAAAAC